TGGTTTTGATTACTAAATATTAAGTTTTGGATGTAAATATAGTTAGTACTCGCATACATTGCTACTTTTACAAATATTATAGTATTGATGTGATGTTTAGGTAATGCATGAATAGCGTGCAGTCTAGTCCATGGGTTATGACGCTGGGTAATGAAGAAATAACCATATTATAAAATGACAGTAGACTCAAACCTTCTTTCTATTTCAAATCGTAAATATTTTATAAATTATTATTATTTTGTGAAGAACATACTGCTCTAGTGCATTCTTTGTTTGCATTTAGTTTGCCGGGTGCAACTTCTAAAATCAAATTGCGTCACCATGATTGCAGTTGTTGCCTTATAAAGAGTATTCTATTTCGTATAGAATTTATAACAATATTCATAATGTATTTCAGTACTGTTTTTCATTTATTTAACGCCAGTGATTCATCAGCAGTTACCATCATACCAAATGCTAAATTTATATTTCACGCAGCCAGAACCTAGTACTGTATGGCGCTAGTGTCGCTCTGACTTCATAAGTTTGCGCGTTTGCCATGTTGTTATTTCTGGTTGCAGTAAACAGAAAAGTAGAAATTGATGTTGCCCCGATATAATTTTGGTACTGAACTTCTTGAAAATCAGTTAAATTATACAAAAGTTGAAATGGATTACACACACTTACACAATATGGTCATCTTATGAACCTAAGTTTCTTCTTTGGAAATGGCTATTGAGAAATCCGACTATGAAACCACTACTGGACTCGCTTCTAAAGACTTTCGTCAGTTTCACATCACCCAAACTTTCATTCTAAGATTTATTTTAATATTTTCCTTAGATACTTTGTTTTTCTTCAAAAATATGACAAGTAAGTAACTAATTAACGAATTGACTGAATTTATGACCAAAAGAGTAACTTTCTGAAAATAAGACTCAAAGGTTCAGTACCGTGAATATTAAATTCTGTCGCAGGACGAAAGTTAGTCCAGCTGTTGCAAATCTTATATTCATTTTGCATTACTCACATTTTAATATTATTCCCTACATCTTGGTTTGCCGTTTCTTAATATTACGACGATTCCTATATAACTATTAACGACATGTCTAATCAAATTCCTAACTCTTTAGAAACAGAATAGGAATTTAAAACACAGTCATTATAATATCCCGTCATTAAACGAGAACCTGAAGAAATTAAGTTAATTTCACATCCTCGGCAACCACCTATCTACTTGATATTTATACACATCCGGTTGGGGTAATTCTGAGTCCCTTTATGCAAGTAATTCAGACGCTTTGAGGACTCGTACTGGAATTGTCACCCTTCCCCCTCGTTCATTATTATATACATCTAATACAATGAAGACGCTCTTAACAAATCCTTTGATACATCTGTATATTAATTGTAGTCTTCTCGTAGTTGCATTTGTGTTTCCATCTAAATATCGAGTCCTTACTATTGATACGGCCTGTCCTTCCTCTTCACAGCCCTTATTATTTCATGTCTCAATTCCAAGGGAGTCTCAGTAGCAATTGCTGCTTGTACAGAAACACTCCAATAATGTAAGGATAATTACACACATAACATCACATTAAGTATTATTATGGCCGTGCTTCGTTCCCTGTAATTGAATTAAACTTCTCGCTGAGTGGCTTCTAGAGAGACTGAGGGGGTGGAAAATGAGGGCGGCTGTTTTAATGTGCCCTACAAGTCGCTGTATGTGATATTCTGAAGGCTTTTGCTAACTAGCCTCTTGTATTGCTCCTGTAGTACTCTGAGCTTCTAATATTATACATTGAAATTTCTGTAAATTTCATGTAAACTTGAGAAAACTTTGTCTCTTGCAAGATGAAGTTTCTGAAATAATTAACAATGTTTCTGAGTATGTAAAACATAGCTATAAGTATGCTCAACTATTGATGTAGTGTTTTATTGTTTAGGGAAATAAAATAATATGATTCCCCTACATATCTAAATAACAAACTAGATTATACAAAGTCTTTCTTAAACATTTATAGTTGCTTACCTGGTAAAGGATTTGCCTGACTTTATAAACCAAAGACACATGACGAAACACCACAAAATGTCGACTCATGGCAAAGGGGATACAAACCTAAACATAGTCATAAATATATATCTACATGTATACGTCCTTGCTAAATAATTAAGGTTTTTGAAAATAAAATATTACACATGCTAAATATGTGTGTATTACGAATTCTAATTACGAAATATAAGATATTGCCTTACTAACTATAACTTGCGAATATGTAATTCTTATATAAAAATTCACGTCACACCTGAAATCTTGTGGTGCCACCAGTGTGTCGCAAAAGACCGGTTGCAGAACATTGCATTAAGCAGCGATGATCTAAAATGGAACTGTCTGAATTGATCGTCATGTGGCATGAAGAACACCTTTAGAATATCAGTGTTCTCCAAAGAGTACAATCAATCAGTCAGTATTTCGGCCTATATTCTTGTTTGGGTTTGTCGACAGTCCAGTTAGTTACTATGTATAGTTGTTTAATGTCAGCATTAAACGAAGGCGAATACCATAAAGGAATTCAAAATTTCATAATGCACTCCAAACTGGAGTAGTTTGTACTCCTCCTGCCTGCTGATGTCCCGTGCAGTATGTCGTCATGGTTACCAGAAGACTGACGTGCGAACGAGATGTGTTCGGTTCATGCGAGCCTTTTGAGAGCCACTCATTAAATGCGGCCAAGTGGCCCAGTTGGCATTGTTTCGTGGCAATTCTTCTTGTTAACAGATGGTATGTTGGAATGCATCCACTTCTTATCCAAGACGCTTCAAAACCAAATGCCGTTCTACAAGCCTCTTCAGTTGTAAACACAGCTGGTGATTTTCTGTCTGCTCGGTGTATATAACTCTTGTGTGTTATATATGAAGTTGTGGATATAGTTCCTTCACATTTTGGGTAGAGCATTACAACGTTTATGTACATCTGTATACAAATTATTGAATATAATAGAAATGAAAAAAATTATGAAACGCTTTGGTCACCTGCACTAATAATACGCGTAGAAAGAACAGCATGGATAAAGCTTACTCTCTAGCCAGGTTCGGACACAGCAAATGTTTCCGAGATTCGAAGTTTTCGCAATATCGATAAATTCGTTCGTGACAGCATTTTAGTTGAGAACCACTAGTTTAAAGGAGCCGGGTAAGCTTTATCAGTATGGTGAATGACTACGTACTGGACGACCGCGTTTTGATGCCCAACACGGGCAGAGGGCTCTTGTGCCCACCCAGCCTCCTGTCCAATAGATACCGGGATCCATTTCAGGGGGTAAAGCTCGGTCGGAGCGTGACGCTGACCACTCACCTCCATCTAATACCAACAATATCTCCTCTCCCACTAAGCGTCTATATCACGTGTAACGGAACAGATTTACTGTTTTTGGTTTATGAACTGCAGGAACTTACCAATTAAAATTGGCTCGTAAATATAGACCATGCACACTTTAACAATCAGTAATTCTGAATTTTGCCGACAGTGTGCGTACGGCTTTCGTATGGTTCTCAGAATAAACAAAGATTAATACATTTAACATCGTTAATAATTTATCGTTGTAAAGGAAACGCATTGTGTGTTTGTGTTATTTTTAGGTACGAACTAAATTTTTAAATATTGTTTTTGAGCTTTAGGCTTCGAAGGGTTAAAACATAAAGTCACTTCGTAATGCTATCAGCGGCCCCTGTGGAAAATCAGCCCGTGTCATGTATTGGTTGTAACCCATTCCTCTCTGCGCTCCAAGTCCCTGTTATAAATTTGCATAACAACAGTGGGTCTCTTAGTACCCCAGGCAGATTCACTTGCTGTTGTGCGCTATCTAGCGAAATGTTTTAGATTTAAATGCTAATTAAGACCTTGCTCAAGAGAACTGAAAACAAAGTAAATCATTTCTTCAAATCCAAAAACTAACACAGCCACAGGGTAGTCTATTCAAGTGAGCAAACCATTGTATCCCACTTAGAAGACTTTTTGGTTCGTCCCAACATCACTACTTAGCTACCGAGGCTGCAGACGAAAGTAGGGTATCAAAGTAGCATGAAGTTGTCCTTATGCATATGCGTCACGCTGTTGAGGCGTATAAGAGGCGTGGAGTGAAACTTCATACGTTCCATATCTCGGCATTACATGTGGGTTAGTGGAGAGCCTCCGAGCCGGTTTCAGTGTGAGGGCGGAGGAAACATTACTTGTCTCTATCGGGTATCAAACCCTGGCTGTCCAGCATGTAGTCATTCACGAACTGATTCGTATTGCTTCATGATTATAAAAGAAAGAAATGTAAGCAACAATTCTTAGGTAAGGGACTATTAAAGAAGCTCAAATACTTGTAAAACAATTTTCGGTGTATGTTATATGGAATGGCTTCGATTTTGAAGAATGAGGGTGTGAGATTCTGATATGGAATTACCTTCTTCATAAGAGTCGCCACTGGGTCGTATCTTTAGCCAGTTGAACCCAGTTTACACCCTTGTATCCTAATTCTCTAAGATACATGTTAATACTCCTGTGTTTCACGTGACATTTTCCTTTGAGGTTTATGAAATAAAATTTTGTATACATTTTTCATCCCCCTCTATTCTGGCTACATTCCCCTCCCCTCTCCGCCCCATTTGAATTTACAATCATAATAATGTTAACTGAGAATTTTGAATTATAATGTTTATCATTAGGGAATTTTTTCAACCCATCTCTTATTTCCTTTTTAATGACACTGGATATCCTCAGCCGAACTGTGTTCTATGAAGATAGATTCAAGAAAGTAATAACTAATATATTACGAAGATTTATGTTTTCTGGGTTGTTGCGCTGTGTTGCAACAACCCAGAAGACAAAAATCTTCATACTCACCCCTGTGAAAACCTCAAATCATACATACTATATTACGGCATTTACTTCAGTACTGCCTCGATATTTTCGGTCGAATAATGCCGTGTATTTGCTTACAGACATTGAAATTGATTTTTTTTTCTCATTGCAGCGGAGTTGAAGATGGATGTTCTGCGGGAGAGAGAGGTCAAAGAAAGCCTGGAGCGACAACTACTGGACGAGCAGAAGATACGGGGTGAGTAGCTACTGCCATCTATCCATATGCGCATGAAACTTTTAACGTCATTTTCATTAAATTATCGTGTGTTTTGCAACCTCGCACCGAATTCACATACTTAATCATTGAGTTTTGAAATTGAAACTAAACAACGTTTACTCCGAGACCGGTCACCTTCCAGGTCAGACTTCGTTAACAGGATGTTTACGTGTTGTATTAAAGTGTGGGCTTTATGTTTTGCACGTATTAACTTTATAAAAATTCACTTCGCGTTATGTTTTCCGTCAACTATGGTAGGTTAGAACAGTTAGGGACATGTGATTCACCCACTATTGACCAAATTATGGGAACATTAAGCTGGAAGTACATTTCTGAATGACAATAAAACGGTATAATAACATTTCTTACATATATAAAGAGTCAAAGCAAACGATACAAAATTTGAAGGAACTATTCATTGTCAGTGTCAACAACTACAAGATTGAAATCTATTACTTGTTTTTTTCTTTTTTCTTTTCCGTCACCTGCGAGATGTACAACACCGAGACGCAGATAATTCAGGAACGATGCATGGAATATATAACTCCCCTGTGTGTTATGTACTGTATATTGCAATTTTAAAAGTAGGAAGAAAATTCTCCATCTTTATCTATAAAATGATTTAGAAGAAATTTAAGAGAAATCCGCTTTCCTATAAATCGAGTTTCATTTATTAGTCGTTGAGAAAATTAAATATCTTTCCGATTCCGTTGTTGGCAACAAGTTTAGACTAAATGAGGTTGGTAAGATTCTGTGTAGCTCACATTCAAATACACTGGTAAGTGGCATACTCCATTACAGTTCCTCTACTGGGAATTGAGATAACCTAGTTTATGCTCTAAAGGTTGTGCAGTGGGGAAGGGACGACAGAGTACAGTGATGAACCCTAAGAACAAAAGGACATCGAAACCAAGAAGAAGAAACAAAATCTAAAGGAGACAGGAAGAGGTTAGAAAACTTCCCCTTTCATTTCCCATCTCTAGAATTCGTATTCAGGGATATTTTACTAGAGGAACTGCTCTGACCTTTCATGAGGTAGGGGGTTGAAATGTCAAGTGTTTGAGGGCGATCTTACAGACGAAACCCCCATTAACTTAGCTACCTCTGTCCTTCTGTACAAGGCAATTTACATTGTCTGTATAGAACTAGTGTCTCAATAAGGCCGATTGCTAAACACAAACTTAAGTGATTCAACAGCTTCTGGAAGGTGTTTTGCCACTGCAAACATATCAGGATATCCACCAGTATCATTACAAATGATATGAAAGACTTGCATTGTAGCGTTTATCGAAATGAACTAGACATTCTGGTTACAGATCTTAGTTTATTTAACGAAATTAAAAAACCGTATAAATTGTGATGGGAGTATTTTGAAGAATGCTATCTTCTGGGTTGTTGCGCCGTGTAGTCTGGGAGATGTCCACGAACGTTTCAGAGGTCTTGCTGCCTCCGTCATCAGGGCGATGAATTTTTTTTGACATTGTCCATTGTTTGGATAAAAGAAATACATAGTTTTAGATCCGTCTTCACGTGCTAGTGTTAATGGATAGCTTTATCTGACGGCCTTCACAGAATAGATACTATTTAATTTTATTTGAAAATTAAGACAGTGCCAGCCTCTTACATTAAAATAGACAATGCCTTCTCAATTCGTTATTCGAAAATTTTTCTACTGCTCAATGCAACAAAACTGGTTGATTTAGAAAAGTGTCGTATATTAAAGGAAAATTCAATAAAACATCATAATTTGGCCAATTACTCAGTTTTATATTTACTTAGTAAGTCGTTTAGTTAATCTTTATGTAAGTCAGTTGTGTTACTTTGATAAATCCAAGTCTCTGACGAAAAGTGGGCTCTATTGCTTGCAAAGCAGGCCTACATTGAATTTTCTCAAGTGGCCATTATGTTAACGTGACATTTAGTTTTCTTTCTGATGTGGTCATTAATATTTGAAAGGGATGCTGTGTGTCGTTAAACCGCAGCAGACGCTTACTGGATAGCGATACCTTTTGTTTATCATGCATTGTCGTCCTCGCCATATATCTGTAGAGTTAAAATTCAATATACCAACACTTCACGCTGTCTAATTTCTCTGTGGAGGTAAAAGACCATCAGGTTCTGGTGTCTGGCCGAAGTGGCTTGTTGAAGATAAAAGGCTCGTGGTGTATCTTAAGAGTTATATACTATGGTAGATGTTTAATCATGTCAATGAGTGGCAGTGCCTGGAATCTTGTAGATTGGATTTACGATATGAACCTGGTCATGATACGTAATCAGAACCGCGTACATTCCAGAGAGCTTTGGAAAACCAAGAAAACTCATTGTGCTGATTTTGAAAGTCTCGGATGCTAGAGGGTTCGGCAGAATGAAACAGGGATCAGATTGTAATGTAGGGCCCTTATGTCTCAAATTCTATATTACGGAGTTTCATAAAACAGTGGTAGTGATGTTCCTGATCTGTCAAGATTTGAGAGTTCGGCGGAACAAAAGAAATCTCTGAGGTCATAATGCTGATCCCATATCTCAGTTTTAGAGATAGCATGACCAAGAAAACTTGAAGCAAATGCTACTGTTGAACCTCAGACTGTAAAATTCTAGAGATAATAGCTGAGCAAACAGTACTTACACCGCGTCTTAGTTTTAAACGCGGGGGCACTTAACATTCTAGCGAATTCTTTCGGAATGTTCTGTAATTGAAATCCTGAGAGATCAGGGACAAGACAGAGAGAAAATGAAGACACTGGCCACTGGAGCACCTCTCGTGTCTCTGCCATTAAGGCTCATTGATCAAACTCATGCGGTCTGTCCCGGACATGAGTCTTCAACACGTCATCCTGTTGATTGATGATACTGCCTGCCCACCTAACACTTAGCAACGCAAAGAAAACTCTCTTCGGGCGTCCATGTTGACTTACTGATACACAAGTCTAAACGGCAGTACAGTTACACCGAAACAAATTCTGACTTCGTTTGTGTGCAGGATATCGAAATGTTTTCAGTGCCGAAATCAGAACTTTCTCGCTTTGTGTGCTAACTGCCCAGTTAACTGAATATCGGTTTTAGTAACTAATCATAACTGTTGGCTTAATTTAAAGACTGTACTAGTGATCAATTATTGACAATGCATGGACATACGTTGTAGATACAACATATACATATGACTAGAATTATTAATGACTGACACTGAAAATTTATTCCATACTGATCGTCTGTGAAGATTTCGTTGCATTCAGTCGCCATAAATGCTTCAGTTATTCTATTACATTTTCTAAGGATAAGTCCCTAAGGTCATAATCGCTGTTTACAGTGGGAACCACACGAGGTTCATAATACAAAATGCAGCGTTACTGGTTTTTAAAGTAAGTGGTACATATAATTACTGCTTGTCTTTAAGGAGGTAATTGACGTAGCGTTAAAATTGAAATGCGTAGTATAACACTGGGTGGCCAACCTGTTGTAAAGACGGTAATGAACCTTTAGTTTCCACAAAAGATTGGAATTTGTCTAGCAGAGTGTGCTATTAGTTGAAGAAGAAAGATTTTTCACTTCATTTTGTCGTTTGGGGGTAAAGTAAGGATTTTAAAGAATAGAGATCCGGTTAACTTAATTTGTGTTTGGTTAGTGATATGAGATGTCTGTTAATTTCGAATGCTCATGGGTGTTTGTATGACTGGTTATATACGTTTATATATTCCGTAATACACATTAAACTTTCGCGGTTGAATGACTAGCATTCCTGTTTTACGTTTGGGAGGTTCTGGCTCGAAATCTCGGCCCGGAGATCGGTTTTCTTAGTTTCTTTTGTGGTTTTACTCAGTCCATTTAGGCAACTGCTGGCGTAGTATCTTAAATCAGGCCACGGCCATTTCCTTTACAATACATTGTTCATTAAACATCAGTTACTATACCCTTTTAAGTCTTTATCTACTACATCGCGATTGAGTAAACCGCAGATAAAAACAATTATACGGAACAATATTTACCAGTTTAGTAGGGTAGGATAATGTAGAATATTATTGTGTGAGATAGAATAAGATATAATCCAGTACGATAGATGGCACACGGCAAAATACGATGGAATAGGGCTACATAGTGTAGTGTACTGTAGTATAGAGTAAGACAGGTAGTTCAGGGCAGGACAGGTTAAGTTATTATAGGACCACGTTGGGCTAAAATAGGGCCAGCTTCAATGGCTAATGATGACTATGTTTATATAAGTATGCTTAAAGTGTAAGTAAAGTAAAGTTTGTCCTCCTACGTGCCGTAAAGGCGCTTGGGGTGATTGGAGGTATAGCTCCTCTCTTTCTTGACCTCAGCACTAGATGGGGGTGAGTGGTCAGCATAACGACCCGGCCGGCTTTACCCCCGGGAAAGGACCCCGGTACCCATTGTAGAGGAGGCTGTTTATTCTGAGTGACAAGAAGAAAGAGCTACGCTCTAAAACGTAGCTTTATATCCGGACAGGAACAGCGTTCATTTAAAATACCCCCGCAACAATGCTTGTCCATTGTGACGAAATCTTTACAACCCAGAGTTTTTCTCTTATGGTCAAATAAAATTTTATGTGGAAGACATGTGGCCGGAAGCGACTCACGAGCCGACAGGTACACATTATTATCTGCTGACACTTTTGGTTGATTGCTTTTTTTACAGTTGCGATCATCTGTCTCCTAACGCGGACACTCTTTGCCACCGCCATCTTTACACGTTTAGACTCGGCGTCTGTCTGCTATTGACACTTGCCTTTCTTGCTTTGCTGACGAGGGTATCAAACTGGATGGACTTTTCTTTTAGTCTTGAAGTAATATAGACCGACATATAAAAACTATCAGACCTATGCTGTTAGGAACGTTAATTGTGCGTCAGGATATTTTGTATAGCTAAGGGTGATGTATCGGGAACAAGGCTGCAAATGACTCGAGGAATAACCACGTCAGGATACCTAACAAAAATATAATTAGAATTTACAATTAGAAAGT